CGGGGCGGCTGCCGCGGCTTTCGAGGCAGTGGAAGTGCCGGGAGCTTCCCAGAGCCTCCAGTTTTTCAGCTGGTGGCAGAAAAACAACTCAAAGGCAACATCTTGCAGTTCTTAATTAAGCCCGGGTTTTGTCAATGGGAGTTTTGCCGTAGGAAGAACTGAAGAATTGGACTTTCAAGATCTTTTTCTGGCAGGATCTGGTTTTTATTTCTCTTAGCTGTTCATTTTGACAAGGCTTGGGAGCACCAGTGCTTTCTGCTATGCACCAGTGATAGACATTTGTTTCCAATTAGTATTTATTGGATTATTTTAGTCAAAAGTAAGCTTTGTGTTAGAGCCCCACAATATGCACTTTGTTATTTGTTCACAGGACGGTGTTTTCTTTTTCTGCTTGGTTTTGCATCACCTACTGAAAACCTGGTGTGAGGCAGCATCGCCGGGGATCTGCCCTGGAAGAGATTAAACCAGATTAAACAGATTACAGCCTCTTATACAAGCGTCTGTCTCTTCCATCGGTGCGGGCATGTTTGACTCGCACGGTTGGAAATAGCCACAGCCGGTGCGTGTCCTTAGGCTGCGTCCGGCTCACTGCTGCTTTTCCCGATGGCTGGAATTAGCCCCTCACTGGGGAAGGGGCTGCGGGTTGCTCCCCAGGCTGAGTCTTAGCAGGTAAAGCCTGGTTTAGGTGGCTGGTGGCAAGATTAGCGGCAGGTACTGTTGGATTTCTGGGTGTGCGCGGGGCTGACTAACAAGGCTTTGGAAAAACACATCGGTAACGTGCTGTGTAGGTAAAACGCTAATGGAAATCTTGCGTTTTAATGGCATCCGAGTGCCTGACTTGAGGTCATGTGGCAAAAAGATTTCCATGGTTTCCCTTGGGAATTAAAAAGCAAATGAAAATACAAATACCAGGCTAAACCCTTGACCGATGTGTTTCTCACACTGTAAACGACTGATCTTACTTTGGGAGAAAACCTCCCGAAACGAACACGGATCTTTGTGGACAAGGGTAGCTGCAAGGAGGTGAAAATACCCGAGCTGGCCCCTTGGCTTCGGGTCTTGCCCAACCTGTACGCGGAGCTGGAGCCCTTGGGTCTTATCCTGCCTTGCTAATGTAAATCAGAGCGATAAGGGCTCTCGGAGTGATGTAAGGCGAAATGAGAAGCAGACTCGCAGCCTTTCTTTTGCGGAAATAACAAATATGCTTTTACAGGAGAATAAATGCAGAATACTTGGCAGCGGCTTGCCGTGGAGAAACCGGCAAGTTCATTTGGTTGGAGACCAAGGAAAGCTGCACAGATTCAGCAAGGTTTAACTACAAGCCAAGCCTGAGTTTTCCTTTCCCTGCTGCATATCTCTGTTTTCCACAGCACGTATAAAATATTATTACTGCAAACTGCACGTCCCAACGCAGCCTCTCGGTGTACATCATACTAAGAGCACTATAAACCTCAGGTTTTTCTACTTTTTTCTTCTCTTCCAGGACAATGGGCCGGCCCAGAGCAGGAGGGCGATGCCCCACGGGGCTGGGGGCAGCCCCATGGACAAGCAGCAGATGCTGAATGTGCAGCATCACCCCCCGACCCGGCTCTGTGCTGGCAGCGGCTCCGAGTTGGCTCTGCCGGGCCAGCTGAGCGGGCTCCACATCGCTCCTGCCCAGAGGTAGGACGAGAGCGTGGATGAGGGACGGTCCTGCTCCTGTTCCCGCAAACTCGGTTTCAGGGGTCTGCATTGGTGCTCCTGGAGCTCAGAAATGCTGGGTTCAGCTCCTGCTCTGTTAGTCGGGGTGCAGGTGGAAGAAAAAAAGGAAACAAAAACCAAAAAAATGGGGGGACTGGAGATGTCAAGTTCTGAACAAAACGACCACATGTATGTATGTAGCAACTGCAACACTGAATTTAAGCTTGTGATGCTGAAGCAACGTTCAGTCGTTTATCTCGGAGACGGGTGGACGTGTTGGTTTTTCAGATCTACAGAAGATCCTTCAGTTGCCGACGGGGGTAGGTAGATTAGTGGCATCAGATCCGATCCCCAGGCTGGGATTAATGCCAGGGAGTGTCACAGACGTTAGTATCCTGGTTTTTCAAAGAACATGTTCAAGGCAGGATGGAGGGTTTGCCCTCCTAGGAGTGGGGATCGCATCGCCGCAGACCCGGGAGCAAACACTTGGCCTGGGAGCTGGAGTATCCACGGAGAAAATTAACCCCAGTAAACTGGGATGTTTGTAAATGTAAGATCTGCTCAGTGCAGCTGTCCGGGAGGCTGGGAAATAAATAATGCTTGTAGGAAAGAGAAAGCTTTTGTGTAGCCAAGGACGGTTTGGGGTTGGGTGGATAACAGACTTTGAGACAGGCCAGGTTGTGGACTGCGATGCTTTTGCACGGCTGACGCTGCTGCTGATTTATGCTCCTCCAGGCTGGCAAAATGTTCTGCAAGAGAGTAACGTCTGTATCAAATACAAAGAGCAAAGCGAGTTTCTTTTCAGCTTGGGAACTCTGCGTGAAGTCGTATTTCAGTGACGCTGCGAGCCAGCTTATTCCCTGTGCTGCTCCAGGAAAGTTAATGAAGTTGGAAAGAAGAGAAGCGCAGAAAAAAATACAGAGAGCAAAATCTGATGTTGTCCGGGTGTGAGCCAAAAGCCAGGAGCTGAGCTCGGGTGGAGTCGAGTTGGGTCAGAGGTGCATTCTCCTCGAATGGGTGCTTGGTCCGGCTGGACTGGTCAAAACCTGCCCTCTTTCACTGAAAATGGGTGAATTGATGTAGGCGAGGGCTGCAGCAGGGCAGAGGCACTCGGGGCACACGGGGAGGGTCTGGCCTGGCCGGGAA